ATGTTCGCGGTTCTGAGGCACCCCTACCATCGGGCCGTGAGCCGGCGAACGTGGGGGAGCAGATGGTGGAGCGAAGAGCTCGGCTAATTACGAGGCGACGGCGGACGGGATGCACCTGTTCATCCAGGGCTCCGTCTGCAATGCGACGGTCGCGGACGACGGGTCCTGGAGGTGCGGCACGGGGTGTGCGGCACGAGTGTTCGGCGTGCGGCCGCAGGTGCGGCCGATCTCTGCATGATTGCCACGGGCTGCCGCAGAGCGATTCTGTTTTTGACAGTGGCCGCAACCAGCAACTGGTCACCGCCCTCCTCAACCAGTCGACCCTCTTCCAGGAGGTTCGGACGCTGCTGGGCGAGCCTGCAGACGATGATCCGACTGCGCGAGTCGAGCGGGACGCCACAGACAACGAGCTCACAAACCACATGGCAGACGGAGTCAGAGCCTCAGTATTCAGTGCTTGGCTGTGCGCTCTGACCAGGAAGACTAAACGGATGCTCGATAAGCACTACGCCGAGGACTTCGCGAAGTTCGGCCACCTGTTCGACCGCGCAAACTATTTGTCGACGCCTTGCCAGCCAGGAGGCAGACGATCATTGCCTGCCCTGGCGTGAGCGTCTGAGGCTCGTTCTGAGGTCATTTGGCGCGCATTTGGCGCACCGATTTCCTGTTGAACCGTGATTGGCGGTTTGGCTCCCCCTGTTTGCTCACGTTCTTCTGGCGCGCCGCGTTGGGCGCTTCGGCTGGTGCTCGACCGCTCCTCGGCTCAGCGCGGACTTGCATATCTGCATGGCGGACAAACAAATGCCGGGCGCCCGAGACCTGGGCTGGGGAGGAGGCCTCGTGCGCGCCGCCAGCGGAGATGCCCGAGTGGTCGTCGCGCCCGCCACTGCCTGGCGGCGCCTCGGGCCGGAAGGGCCACCCCGCGCGGCCCGGCGGGAGAGGCTGTCGGCTCCGGCTGCGGCGCGTGGCCCGCCTCTGGGAGCCGGGGCGATCGAGCCGGGTCCGGGAAGAATGGGTACAAAGACCGGCAGCCAAGAAGACAAAGTTCAGGAGGGAAAGACACGCGCAGACAGAATGAATCGTCGACTCCCAGGAAGATGTGATAAACTGTGGGAAGTGGGGGGGAAGACCAAGATCTAGAAAATATGGAAGAATATAGGGAATCCTCGGATTTGTGTGTATTTATTTGTGTGTCCCTGGGCCCCTTGAAAAACGCCATAAACATAAACTTTTGGCGCTCCGCGCGGATTCCTTGGATCTGCGCTGGTGCCCCTCTGGCGGCGCCTCCGGCGCCGCCCCTGGCGCGCTCTGCGCGCCAGGGAGGGGGGCCCTGCGCGGATCCAAGAAATCCACGCGCAGCTCCAACAGTTTATTCCCAACCATCCTGTGGTGTTGGGTCCTCGTTTTGAAGAGACAGCGCCCCGCGTCTCCTCACCTCCCGCTGCCCTCCTCTCTCCTCATCCTCCCCCTTCGCGTCAGCCACACCCGCTTCGGCACACCCCTCACACGTCTGGTGGCCCCATAGGGAGCTCCGCCGAAGGCCCCAGTGCTGCCGCCCGCATGCGTCACCCACACCCAATTCGGCACACCCCTCACACGTTTCGTGGCCCCATAGGGAGCTCCGCCGAAGGCCCCAGTGCTGCCGCCCGCATGCGTCACGCAGACCCAATTCGGCACACCCCTCACACGTTTCGTGGCCCCATAGGGAGCTCCGCCAAAGGCCCCAGTGCTGCCGCCCGCATGCGTCACCCACACCCAATTCGGCACACCCCTCACATGTTTCGTGGCCCCATAGGAGCTCCGCCGAAGGCCCCAGTGCTGCCGCCCGCATGCGTCACCCACACCCAATTCGGCACACCCCTCACACGTTTCGTGGCCCCATAGGAGCTCCGCCGAAGGCCCCAGTGCTGCCGCCCGCATGCGTCACCCACACCCAATTCGGCACACCCCTCACACGTTTCGTGGCCCCATAGGGAGCTCCGCCGAAGGCCCAGTGCTGCCGCCCGCATGCGTCACCCACACCCAATTCGGCACACCCCTCACACGTTTCGTGGCCCCATAGGAGCTCCGCCGAAGGCCCCAGTGCTGCCGCCCGCATGCGTCACCCACACCCAATTCGGCACACCCCTCACACGTTTGGCGTGGCCCCAGTATGCGTTTCACACGTTTCGTGGCCCATACACTCCGCCGAAGGCCCCAGTGCTGCCGCCCGCATGCGTCACGCACACCCAATTCGGCACACCCCTCACACGTTTCGTGGCCCCATAGGAGCTCCACCGAAGGCCCCAGTGCTGCCGCCCGCATGCGTCACGCACACCCAATTCGGCACACCCCTCACACGTTTCGTGGCCCCATAGGGAGCCCCGCCGAAGGCCCCAGTGCTGCCGCCCGCATGCGTCACCGCACACCCAATTCGGCACACCCCTCACACGTTTCGTGGCCCCATAGGGAGCTCCACCGAAGGCCCCAGTGCTGCCGCCCGCATGCGTCACCCACACCCAATTCGGCACACCCCTCACACGTTTCGTGGCCCCATAGGAGCTCCGCCGAAGGCCCCAGTGCTGCCGCCCGCATGCGTCACCCACACCCAATTCGGCACACCCCTCACACGTTTCGTGGCCCCATAGAAGGCCCCAGTGCTGCCGCCGAAGGCCAGTGCTGCCCGCCTGCATGCGTCACACACCCAATTCGGCACACCCCTCACACGTTTCGTGGCCCCATAGGGAGCTCCGCCGAAGGCCCCAGTGCTGCCGCCCGCATGCGTCACGCACACCCAATTCGGCACACCCCTCACACGTTTCGTGGCCCCATAGGGAGCTCCACCGAAGGCCCCAGTGCTGCCGCCCGCATGCGTCACGCACACCCACCGGCACACCCCTCACACGTTTCGTGGCCCCATAAGGAGCTCCGCCGAAGGCCCCAGTGCTGCCGCCCGCATGCGTCACGCACACCCAATTCGGCACACCCCTCACACGTCTGGTGGCCCCAAAGTGAGCTCCACCGAAGGTCCCGGTGGGTGTACCCGCATGCGTCACGCACACCTAATTCGGCACGCCCCTCACACGTTTCGTGGCTCCATAGGGAGCTCCGCCGAAGGCCCCAGTGCTGCCGCCCGCATGCGTCACCCACACCCAAGTCGGCACACCCCTCACACGTTTCGTGGCCCCATAGGGAGCTCCGCCGAAGGCCCCAGTGCTGCCGCCCGCATGCGTCACGCACACCCAATCCGGCACACCCCTCACACGTTTCGTGGCCCCAAAGTGAGCTCCACCGAAGGTCCCGGTGGGTGTGCCCGCATGCGTCACGCAGACCCAATTCGGCACACCCCTCACACGCTTAGTGGCCCCATAGGGAGCTCCACCGAAGGCCCCAGTGCTGCCGCCCGCATGCGTCCCGCACACCCATTTCGGCACACCCCTCACGCGTTTCGTGGCCCCATAGGGAGCTCCGCCGAAGGTCCCAGTGGGTGTGCCCGCATGCGTCCCGCACACCCATTTCGGCATGCTCTTAACACGCTTCGTGGCCCCATAGGGAGCTCCACCGAAGGCCCCAGTGGGTGTGCCCGCACGCGTCCCGCACACCCAATTCGGCACACCCCTCACGCGTTTCGTGACCCCTCACACATTTCGTGGTCCCATAGGGAGCTCCACCGAAGGCCCCAGTGGGTGTGCCCGCATGCGTTCCGCACACCCATTTCGGCACACCCCTCGCACGTTTCGTGGTCCCGTAGGGGGCTCCACCGAAGGTCCCAGTGGATGTGCCCGCATGCGTCACGCACACCCTTTTCGGCACACCCCTCACACGTTTCGTGGCCCCATAGGGAGCTCCACCGAAGGTCCCAGTGGGTGTGCCCGCACGCGTCCCGCACACCCAATTCGGCACACCCCTCACACGTTTCGTGGCCCCATAGGGAGCGCCACCGAAGAAGATATTCACAATGGCGGTATTCACAATTGCATATGGTTCGGTCCTTCGCCAGGATAATTGTTTTGTTTCTTACAGGTCCTGCTCATGTTGAACATGATGCGCTGTCGGTGTCGACCCGGGCATGGTCCACGTGAGACAGAAGGCCGCCCGCCCAACGGCGGCTGCTTGTCGGTTTTGGACAACTCCTGTTGTTGGGCATCGTGCCATTTTTTGTTAGATCTGCTGCGGAGGCCCTCCCTCTCCAGTCTCGACGAGGGGGGCGAGGGCGAGGAGGACGAGGACGAGGACGAGAGCGGGGCAACGACGAACGAGGATGAGGGACAGCGAGGACGAGGACGAGAAGAGAGACCGGAGGGCCTCCGGTCTCTCTCCTCGTCCTTGTCTTCGTTGTCCTCCTCGTGTTGGCTGCCCCGCCCCCCTGGCGAGGCCCCCTCGTGCACCCAGCGCAGCCCGCCTTGGGCGCTGTGCGGGGCTACGGCACCCGCAGCCTGTGGAACGTGAAGAGCGGCAAGATGTGGTCCCGGGCTCGGCTTCCAAGGCAGACCTCCTCGCGTTGTGCAACGATCCCGACGGGAGACGTTTCACTATTTTCGGCCTCCAGGGGCCCTCGCCGGGCCCTGGGACTGTCAAACCGCCGGTCGTGTGGCATCCCGAGTGATGCTGCAGAGCCTCGACCAGAGCGTAAACTCATGGATTTAAACCATGATGAAGCCAATTTGTTTCGCCCACAGCTTTCGACAGCAGGCGTCCAGATGCTTGCCACGAGGTGCGAAGGCGCCCCGCAATGCTCCAGACAGCTCCTGTGCCGCTGGCGATGCGGTGCGATGAAAAACCAGTCCCCTGGAAGGGGTCCAGGCTCCTCGGGTCGGGTCTCAGAGAGACGGGGGTCAATGCAAACGGGGGTCAGCCAGAGCGCCGGATCTTGCATGATCCTGCAGGGCCAGGGTCGCACTGACCTAGGTTTGGGTGCAGGATCCTGCGGGATCCTGCGGGATCCTGCGCATGGACCCGGGTTTGGGTGCAGGATCTGGCAGGACCTTGCAGGATTCTGCAATGCCTGACTGACCTGGGTTTGGATTGACCCGGGTCAGGAGATCCCAGATCGGGGTCACGTCGTGAAAAGATCACGGCGTCGGGGTCTGGGAAGGCAGCGGCCAGGGGCGGCGCCGAGGGCGAGGAGGGGAGCGCGCTTCGCGCTGCTCCCTGCTTCCCTCCGCCCTCCCTCCGCTCTCCTCCCTCTGCCTCCTCCGCATCCGTCGGAGTTGAGCGAGGCCGAGGAGGAGGAGGAGGAGGAGGAGGAGGAGGAGGAGGAGGAGGAGGAGGAGGAGGAGGCGGGGGAGGAGGAGGAGGCGGGGGAGGAGGAGGAGGCGGAGGAGGAGGAAGAGGGGGGGGGAGGAGGATTGGCCCTTCTCTTCGATCCTCTGGCCCCAAGAGGCCTGAGCATCTCCCTCCTGGGGCCTCCAGCGGTCCTCGGGAGGGCAGCGTGAGCGCGTCTAACCCGCGAAGGGTCTTTAATGTTGAGGACCCCCCCCTAGGCTCTCGGCGGGGAATATAATCTCGTCCCTCCTCCTTCCCCTTCCTCCTCCTTCCCCTTCCTCCTCCTCCTCCTCTTCCTCCTCCTCCTTCTCCTCCTCTGGTGCCTATGCGGTGGCCGCAGCGGGGGAAGGATTCTTTTCCAAGTATTGTTGAGGTCCCACTCCGTCAATAAGCCCGCGGACAAAATGAATCAGTTTCCCATTATTGCCCGGGGGTTTATTGAAGACCCCTTTGGGGTGACGCGGCACTGTCAATCTGTTCTGTGTTCGAATGTTCTCGAGTGGCATCGGATGGGCTCAGGCTCCTGGGCGCTTGCTGTAAGCTGTGTTGGGGGGCGCCCATGCATCATCTCAGCGGCCGTCTGAGACCCGAGACAAGCTGGCCTACCCGATCGCGCCCAAGCATACGCGCTCCCGAAGGACCGTAATTCACATATACGCCTGCTGTTCGGTGCGGCTCGCGCAAACTCGCAGCATAGAAGACTTGCGCTGTGTGCGAGTGGCGCATTGCCGAATTGTTTCCGGGATAGGAACCTCGCGCTGGTTGTGGGTGGCGCATCGTTTCCAGCGTAATGTTAAGGCGGGCCTGTCCCTCTACAGGAAGATATATGCAATTTTTTTGACGAATATGTTTCGATTTTTTTTTCGCCCAAAGTCCGCCTGTAGGGGGACACGCCCGACTTAAGCGTAATGTTTGCGCCGGTCATCGGCAGACACTGGCGATCTGTGAATCTTGTTTGTTTGAAATTTGTCCGAAGTAGGAACGGACGCCACAAGGGAGCTTGAGCCACAAATGGTATTATGCCAGTATGACTTCATGAGGTCGTGGATAAGGACCACGAAGAAGAGGAGGAGGAGGAGCAGGAGGATGAAGAGGAGGAGGAGGAGGCGGAGGAGGAGGAAGAGGAGCAGGATGCGCAACGCTATGGGCCATGCATGCATTCCTATCTGGCTCTGGGTATTGTGATCTCAGTGTTATGCTCTCCTCTCGGGCTCCCTCCTCCTATGCCCTCCCCATCTCTGCTTCGCTTGCGGTTGTGAGTGATTCTACAGGCTTGCGCCACATCCGCCGACCCCTTTGTTCGAAAAGTGTTGTGGTTTCCCTGGGGTCGCATGCAGTGTTGGCAACATGCTCCTCCAATGTTGCGTGCAGTGTGTGGTCGTGAGGAGGAAGCAGAGGAGAAGGAGGAGGAGGAGGAGGAGGAGCAGGGCTTGGTGGCAGTCGACCAACAATTACATTATCCCTGGGATTCTCCCTGGGACCCTCCCAGCACTCTCCGGTGCCTTTCCCGGGGTCTCTTTGGCTGCTCTGTCGGCCTTGTCCGCTCTGTCCGCTCTGTCCGCTCTGTCCGTTCTGTCCGCTCCGTCCGCTCTGTCCGCTCAGTCCGCTCCGTACGCTCTGTCCGCTCTGTCCGCTCCGTACGCTCTGTCTGCTCTTTCCGCTCTGTCCGCTCTGTCCGCTCTGTCCGTTCCGTCCGCTCTGTCCGCACAGTCCGCTCTGTCCGCTCTGTCCGCTCTGTCCACTCCGTCCGCTCTGCTCGTTCCGTCCGGTCAATCTGCTCTGTCCGCTCTGTCCGCTCTGTCCGCTCTGTCCGCTTTGTCCCTCTGTCCGCTCTTTCTGCTCTGTCCGCTCTGTCCGCTCTGCCCGCTCTATCCGCTAGTGAGATCGCTAGTGAGATTGATTGTGAGATCGATCGTCAGATCGATTGTGACATCGATTGAATGAAATGGATCGAGCGATATCGACTGTGACATCGATCGAGTGAGATCGATCGAGCGATACCGATAATGATGTCCATAGTGGCCTCGACAGACCAATCGAATGAGATGTTATTTCCTCCTTCCTCCCGAACCTTCTTATCAACCGAAGGGCGGTCATATGGTACCTTGCATTTTTCCCCACATCCAAAGTGGGGTTCTTGTTTTCTCTGCACACCCCGCGCAGGAACACTCACCCCACCCCCTCTCCTCTTCTGCCTTCGCACACTCACTCACTCACTCATCATCATCACCACTCGCTCACACTCACACTCACTCACACTCTCTCATCATCAATATCAGCATCATCACTCGCGCTCTCTCACACTCTCAGTCACTCACATACTCATCATCATCATCATCATCATCATCATCATCATCATCATCATCATCATCATCATCATCATCATCATCATCATCACTCGCACTCTGTCACACGCTCACTCATTCACATACTCACCTGGAGGAAGTCTCAGGCGGGAGTTCGTCTGTGAGTGAATTGTGAGGAAGTCTCAGGCGGGAGCCCCCTCCCTATGGGGCCCGCAGATCATGTTGGTAATCCGAGCGGGTCATCCAAACCCTGTAACTGTCGTCACTTTTGGGCTCCTCAAGCTTGAGTACGGAGGAAGTCTCAGGCGGGAGCCTCGTCTGTGAGTGAATTGCGAGGAAGTCACAGGCGGGAACCCCTCCCTATGGGGCCCGCGCTTCATGTTGGTAATCCGAGCGGGTCATCCAAATCCTGTAATTGTCGTCACTTTTGGGCTCTTCAGGCCTGAATTTGGAGGAAGTCTCAGGCGGGAGCCTCGTCTGTGAGTGAATTGTGAGGAAGTCTCAGGCGGGAGCCCCCTCCCTATGGGGCCCGCAGATCATGTTGGTAATCCGAGCGGGTCATCCAAACCCTGTAACTGTCGTCACTTTTGGGCTCCTCAAGCTTGAGTGCGGAGGAAGTCTCAGGCGGGAGCCTCGTCTGTGAGTGAATTGCGAGGAAGTCACAGGCGGGAACCCCTCCCTATGGGGCCCGCGCTTCATGTTGGTAATCCGAGCGGGTCATCCAAATCCTGTAATTGTCGTCACTTTTGGGCTCTTCAGGCCTGAATTTGGAGGAAGTCTCAGGCGGGAGCCTCGTCTGTGAGTGAATTGTGAGGAAGTCTCAGGCGGGAGCCCCCTCCCTATGGGGCCCGCAGATCATGTTGGCAATCCGAGCGGGTCATCCAAACCCTGTAACTGTCGTCACTTTTGGGCTCTCGCGCTGCCAGAACGCCATTCCCGGGCCACATTGTGCATGCCCGGAGCCAGCTGTAGGCCACTTCGTGTTCTTCGTGTTCCCAGAACACCATTCCCGGGCCACATTTTGAAACCCCGGAGCCAATTGTAGGCCACTTCGTGTTTTTCCTGAGCCTGAGCGCGGCTGCGCCCCGCTCGAAGCCCGCGGGGTTGTCCCAACGGCTTGGTCTTGCGCGCAAGCGGCTCGCGGGGTTGTCCCGACAGCCTGGCCCGCGGGGTTGTCCCAACGGCTGCGCGACGTGGCCATTAGAGAACGCGCCTGTGCTGGCCGAGGCGGCGACGGCGCCGAGGAAAACCGACATGCGCGCTCGTGCAATGGAAAGGCGAGGCGGTGGCGGGGCGCGAAAAAAACAGGAGGGCGAGGTCGGGGGCAACGTAGGGAGCGGGGGGAGGGCCCGCGCCAGGGCGAGAAGAAATATACGCAGAAGAGACAGTCAAGACGCCTCACCAACCACGAGGACGACGTTGAGCGCTTTTTCCAGATTCGCCCAGAGGATTCTCATGTGGGGTCCTTCCGTCGGAGTAATTTGTAAAAAAGCCAAGGCCCCGCCGAGGATTTCTGGAGGTAGTCAGAGCAAAACCCTAACTAGATGTTTTGGCAGCGGCAGCGACGCTAACGACGCTGAACCAGTCGACGACGATGACTGCGGTGGCTCCTGGAGGACACCAGGGGGGAGGACGAGACAAGAGGGCTGGGAGAAGCAGAGCAATTCCGCCGGATCTCCTTTTGGAGCAATTCTTTACGCTTCGCGTATCCCCACCAGCCCATCTCACAGCAGCAACTCTCGCGAAGCATGCCGACAGTCGTGTTTTTCAGGCGTGTGTCCGCTTGGCCCCGCATATCTCCCCTGTTCCTCCTTCCTCCCGCCTCCTTGTACATCCTCCTTGTGAGGGGAGCGGGAGAAGGACGAGGCGGAGGAGGAGGGAGAGAAAGCGCTCC